AAATAATAATAATAATAATTAAATAAACATGCAGTAATGTGAACACTCACGTTGTTGTGTGTGCTATCATTTAAAGTAAATAATCCAAAAATCGATAATTTCAATCGCCTCTGGTGGAGCAATATTATGGTGGCCTTTATCTAAAATCATTGCAATTACATTAACAGTTGGTATACATTTTTTTTCTATGATTAATGCAGTAAAAAGTACACAATGAAAGTACCGCTGTTCTATCGATTTTTACGTCATGCAGCTCGTACGAAATTCGGCTAATTATGCCTGCAGTTCTGGCAGCCTTCGATTGAAAAAAAAAAAAAAAAAAAAATATGATAGTGAAAAATCAAACTACGTTGTACCCAAAATGACAACAAAATGCACGTTATTTACCTCGTCGCTCGTCGAGGTTGCCACGCTGCAAACGAAAAACAGGACGAGCGCGGAAATTAATATCCTCGTCGTGGGCCTGTACAAAAACGCAGACACCGAAATCGTGCTGGTAACTGTATTGAAAAAAATTATCAATCCCGTGCATCGACACTATCACGTGGCACATGTTGTTGCACATCAGAAAAACAATCGGCAAAGCGAAGAACCGAGTCGCACAGATCGGCCAGATCGGTATGCAAACGACCGACCACTCGCACCTGTAATTATTGTAATCGCATGAAAAAAACGCCAGCTGCGGGGTTAATCGGTTACATATGAAAACGACAATTTTACGTTTTCGCCGAGGGTCAACGACGTATTGTCGCCCGAAGAATCTTTGGGGTCAGCTCGCTGTTCAAAGCTTGGTAGTGTTGGTCGACAAACGACACGGCCTCGACGAAGCAGATGGGCCAAGTTGACCCCCACGCCGTCAAATAGACGAACCAAAATGCGCTCTCCTCCCGCAAGGTCTCTGTGACAGTGGGGCACGACGAGCGCGGAAAACCCAACGATCGCCAGGAACAACAGGTTTACCGCGACGAACCGCGCCCGGGCGTTTTTCAAGGGTCCGCCGATGTCGCGGCAAGATCGGTAAATGTTTAGTTGTTTTTCCGAAATGTTTACTTCATCGAGGGACGCGATAATGGAGCGCAAGCCGTTTCGCTTGAAGGTGAACACCAGCCAGGACGACACGTGGGTCAAGTAGTTTAAAACGATGCTTAAACCGTCCGTGAAGATAGCCGAGGGCGTTTCCTCGAACAGCACCATGTACAGGCGTACTTTCACAGCTTTGACGAATATCCAGATGTAAGCCGCTACGAGGAGTACGTTGTAGCTGCACGTCGGGTGGGGAAATTTCAACTTATTCGCGGGTTTTCATTCAAACGGACACGGTCCCATTACTTTGAGAAAATAGTAGCAAAGGGCATTCGAGAGTGCGCGTTTCATTTTAGCGCAAACTACAATTTTAGATTTTTTCCATGTATGTATATATATATATCTATATTTATATTCAACAACGTCAAATAAAAGTATATTTACAAAATAAAAGTATTAAAAATCAATCAAGAGTCATTATTTTCCAACGGCTTTATAAAACTCACGTCTAGCATACAAAACTTTGCACGACACACGGGACACGTGCACTTGGAAGACATCCAAGTTTCTGGCGCCATTTCGTCTTGTCTGGAAGCAAACCTGTTTAAAACACAATTGGTATTAGATGAGAATTCGTTGGCCTGGCATAATCTTTTGTTGATATGCTCACCATTTTGCCATACAGTCTATACACCACATGGGTCGACAATAACAGTTAACACAGGCATCAGGTGACGTGGACTCGTTACAGAGTTTGTTGAGTTTCACATTTGACGTAACTTGCATACATCCAACGCACTGTTCCAACTCCTGAGCAGTTTCAAACTCTCGATTTTTACCTACTTGATCCTTAAATGTATCTATAAATCTATCCAATAAAGTTCGATGAAAGACGACACTGTCCAAAACCACGATTGGTCGCGTCACTCTATCTTGCAAGTCCTTGAAATCCAATGCATTCAATCTAATGTCAAAAGACCTAGCANATTATTATTATTATTATTATTTTCTAGGTGGCAAGTACTGGTAGAAAGTGGTGTGGTGGAGTACATAGACACGCTCGAGGAGGAGACAACGATGGTGGCCATGTCACCCGAGGATCTGCGCCAGGACAAGGACCAAGCGTACTGCTTGACCTACACCCACTGCGAGATCCACCCGGCCATGATTCTCGGTGTTTGCGCCTCCATTATACCGTTCCCCGACCACAACCAGAGCCCCCGAAACACCTACCAGGTGAAAAGTTTTTTCTCAGTTAAAAAAAGAAACTATATGGTCGTATGATATTGTCACAGAGCGCCATGGGCAAACAAGCGATGGGCGTTTACATCACCAACTACCACGTGCGGATGGACACTCTCGCCCACGTACTGTATTACCCTCACAAGCCACTCGTCACGACCAGGTCCATGGAATACCTGAGATTCCGTGAACTGCCGGCCGGCATAAACAGCATCGTCGCCATCCTCTGCTACACCGGCTACAACCAAGAGGACAGCGTGATTCTGAACACAGGTGCCGTGGAGCGCGGCTTCTTCCGCTCGGTGTTTTACAGGTGGATCATTGTACTTTTTTTACCCCCCCATTCCTTCATTGTTTAATCGTGTTGTGTATCCGCGATAGGTCGTACAGGGACTCGGAAACCAAGAGATTGGGCGACGTGGAGGAGCAATTTGAGAAACCAAACAGACTGACGTGCCAGGGCATGAGAAACGCGGTTTACGAGAAACTCGACGACGACGGGATCATTGCTCCCGGCATCAGGGTATCGGGTGACGATGTCATCATTGGCAAAACAATGGCCTTGGCCGATAAAGAGGACGACGTGGGTGTAATCCTACACGCGTGTATTAAGATCCAACGAAAAATATTTAACGAGAGTACACGAGTTTTGTCATTGATTTGCAGCTGGAAAGTACTACGAAGCGATACACGAAGCGAGACGCCTCGACGTTCCTGCGTAGCAGCGAGTCCGGCATCGTGGACCAGGTCATGCTGACCCTGAACAGCGAGGGCTACAAATTTTGCAAGATACGCGTGCGCAGTGTGCGTATACCGCAGATCGGTGACAAGTTTGCGTCGCGTCACGGTCAAAAGGGCACCTGTGGCATGCTGTACCGACAGGAGGACATGCCGTTCACCTGCGAGGGTATCACCCCGGACATCATCATCAATCCCCACGCCATTCCGTCCCGCATGACGATTGGCCACTTGATCGAGTGCATCCAGGGCAAAGTGTCGTCAAACAAGGGAGAAATCGGTGACGCCACGCCGTTCAACGACGCCGTCAACGTGCAGAAGATCTCGACCCTGTTGATGGAGTACGGGTACCAGTTGAGAGGCAACGAGGTCATGTACAACGGGCACACGGGTCGCAAGATCAATGCCCAGGTCTTCCTCGGTCCTACTTATTACCAGCGTCTCAAGCACATGGTGGACGACAAGATCCACAGCAGAGCCAGAGGACCCGTGCAGATTCTGGTGAGACAGCCTATGGAGGGTAGAGCAAGGTTGGTACAACGACGACTTGTGTTCTATTTGTTATACATGGATGCAAATATTCTTTTTGTTTTCTCACACGATTCCGCGTCCGTCGCGTTGTTGCAGAGACGGGGGTTTGCGCTTCGGAGAGATGGAGCGCGATTGTCAAATCAGCCACGGGGCCGCGCAATTTTTGCGCGAACGGCTGTTCGAGGTGTCGGATCCCTACAGGATTCACGTGTGCAACCTGTGCGGCCTCATAGCGATTGCCAATCTGCGAAACCACACGTTTGAATGCAAAGGCTGTAAGAACAAGACACAAATATCCCAAGTTCGGCTGCCCTATGCCGCCAAACTGCTGTTTCAAGAACTCATGGCTATGAACATAGCGCCGCGTCTGATGGTCGTTTGAGAGCTATTGCGGTCTGTTTTTTATTTCATTATTTCTAAGAGTATCGTGTATCCTTTCTGTTACGTTTTTTTCTGGAGTTTATAAGTATTACTACTGTTACCGCGTTAGTTATAAATATTTTTTCTACACTAGAATGATGAAATGAAATTTAATTGTACTACTTGCCAGTCTGTTTCGTTGGAGTGCATTTTTAATATAAATAAATCCATGTATGTATATATATATATCTATATTTATATTCAACAACGTCAAATAAAAGTATATTTACAAAATAAAAGTATTAAAAATCAATCAAGAGTCATTATTTTCCAACGGCTTTATAAAACTCACGTCTAGCATACAAAACTTTGCACGACACACGGGACACGTGCACTTGGAAGACATCCAAGTTTCTGGCGCCATTTCGTCTTGTCTGGAAGCAAACCTGTTTAAAACACAATTGGTATTAGATGAGAATTCGTTGGCCTGGCATAATCTTTTGTTGATATGCTCACCATTTTGCCATACAGTCTATACACCACATGGGTCGACAATAACAGTTAACACAGGCATCAGGTGACGTGGACTCGTTACAGAGTTTGTTGAGTTTCACATTTGACGTAACTTGCATACATCCAACGCACTGTTCCAACTCCTGAGCAGTTTCAAACTCTCGATTTTTACCTACTTGATCCTTAAATGTATCTATAAATCTATCCAATAAAGTTCGATGAAAGACGACACTGTCCAAAACCACGATTGGTCGCGTCACTCTATCTTGCAAGTCCTTGAAATCCAATGCATTCAATCTAATGTCAAAAGACCTAGCACCAGGTCTTGTAGGAGTTACCTGATATCAACAAATTCATTATTAAAAATCTATGGAGCAAGATTTGTTTGAAATTAAAGGGAAAAAAGTCAAGCATACCTCTATGTTAACATATTGCACTCCTCCCCGTCTGTCTGGTGATAGAGCATGAGTGTCACTTTTATTTACTATCAGAGCTGTATCGCTTTGGTGCGCAAAGTAGCACTTGTACGAAGTCACTTTAATTATCCAGTTGTCGGTGGCTACAATCTTTGTTATGCTATTCGTATCTATGGTAATCTTGTCTATCCTTTAAACAATATAATATAAATTATGTTTGATTTGTTCATCGTATACAATTTCATGGATGCCAGCATCTTACCGACCTCCTGAACTCTATATTTATATCCGAAGCAACAGACAACCACGATGAATTGTTATTGCAATAAACTGCCAAACTTTCAGCTATNTTTTTTTATTTTTTTTTTTTTTTTTTTTTTTTTTCTTTATCAATAGGACAAAATTGGTTTCGCAAAGCAAATAAAGAGACGGCAATGTCACCGTGCTCTTATCGCGGCATACATCGAACAACTCGTTAGGAACTTGAATGATCATATACTTGCGATTATTTGATGATATAATACATCTGGAAGAAAAAATAACTTGTATTACCTGAAATAGATTGAAAATTATAAATGACGTTTTTTTTTAAATGTTGGAAAAGAGGAGACGTTTGGACGGTCACGTCAGCATTTAACTAAATTGTAATAATACGTAGTTAATAAATTACTGATAATTTTTAAGCACATGAGTAAGAAAAAATATACCTTATTTGTGTACGCGTTATAACTATGATCTGTATGGGTCATGGGGAAATCAGCATCTTCTTTGTCATTACGAACGAATGTTTATGTCTTTCTGTTTAGAATATTGTAATGTGAATGAATAAATATTATAGAAGCGGCAAAATAAAATGCAACGCCGCAATAGAATGAAAATTGTTATTGTTATAGTTTAAATACGTTACTATTTTTATTATTCCTGATTTAATAAATGCTGATAAAAATGAAAAACAAAATTGAATAAAATGGTACAAACGTTTTGTTGTTGTCATTGAAGAGGTGCGTTCGAGAAAATTATAATAGTATTTTACTTCTAAAGTTCTAAACATAATGAGCTGATGTGACAAAAAAAATCGTGTTTTGTATCGTAGGAGACACCTGGAATTATTTAATACTTTGTTCTCTAAAATGAAGGACTATCAATGTGGATTTTATCGATTTATATGACAGATTAACACGTAACACAAACATTCAATATGAAAACTATTCATCACAGAAAATAAATGTTTCGAATTTTATCTGCAATGAATTCCAAATGGCAAAGAGGCACTATTTTTATTTCAACAAAAGTTGAAAGATCAGATATAATTTTTATAGTTACAAAAATGGTTACAACAATTTTCAATTTCTTCATCTATAAATCATGAATGTTTTTAATGATATTTCTGAATACGATAAAACAGTAAATTTCGAGGATTCAAACTAAACATTTACTAGTTAAAATACAGAAAAATCACAATAAGGGACAAAAATCCAACTTGTAAAATTATAAATATTTACTCGTAAAGACATGTAAAATTGTTTTATTTTTTATTCTAAGTATCATATCGTCATTGCAATAATAATAATCAATACTATTGACTGATGCGACTGTACATTAACAAAATCCATTAGCCAATTGTTACATGCCAAAGAATACTAAATTGCCCATGCTGTTCTTTTGTAATGGTTAGTCGTCAATAAAGTTGGAAGTATGCAACATTTAAGTAAAGAAACTTTTATTTACTTGAGCCACAAAATTCTGGGCTTCTGTCCATTTTCACTTGATGTAAAAAAAAATCTCCGCTCTTCTTACCCAGGATCAATTTATAATTTGATCCTCGCGTGTATATACACACTGAGCAGCATATTGGCAATTAAAAGTCGATGTCAACTTAAACTACCCAAAGAAACACTAATGTCCATCCTAGTGATTTTAATCTCAACGATTCTGCAAAGTTCGACGATTATACATTGTTTGATCAACTTTGCGTTTGGTCAAAGACGTATAGGTTTTGTTGTGAAAAAATTCCAAAAGCTGGATTGCCGATTCCCCGAGACTCGTGGAAAAAGGAAAGATTTTGTGATAAATTTTTTAATGTTAACAGGAGTCTTGGGTGTCATATTTTACCCGCTATGTTGCATGGATCATTTCCGATTTCTAGCAAGTAAATCCGTAACCATTGAGGAATTTTTGTTTTGGACATCCTATCAAAGCGCCTACGCGATATTAATTATAGCCATTCTCTTCTACATCATGTGCATTGGTCTGATTTTGGGTTACTTTGGTGATTTAAACGGGTCATTGGTGAAACATAGAAAAAGATATTTAAAAATTCAAGGTAATTAAAAAAATAAATAAATGAAATGAAAAGTGTTAAAATGTACACATGGATTTGTTTTTTGTCAGAAATTGAGGAAACTTATGACTGCTTGTACGACCTTATGACTGAAGTAACGAATTTTTTTCAATTTACAATTTTAACAGTCATATTGGGTAATTTTGTGAATATCTCTTGTTCGATTTACCGACTAAATCTTTTTGTGAACTACGATAAAATTTGGCATTTGATGGATTTTCTTGACTTTGGATCTCTCATGTTTTGGTTAACAGCAAAAATCGTTATATTGTATTTTCTTTGTGCTCTGCCCGACGCAGTGACTTATGAGGTCAGTAAAATCAATTTACACACTATTCTCATTACATATATGCACGGAGAACTTTTTCCATTCGATCGTATATTCTAGGCTAACAAAACGATTACTATATTAAGCGGTGCGTTCGATAAATTAAAGGAACATAATTACGAGAATTACTCAAAGGTAATATTTTATAGTTTATAAAAAAAGAAAACGGTGAACAAAAATTCTCTGTTTGTCGATATAGATACAAAGAATTTCGTTGCATTTCCTTCAAAAGGAATTCAGTGCATCGATATATGGGCTTTTTTGTTTGGATTACAAGTGCTTTCAAAGTGTGAGTTGAAAAATTTGTTTGTTAACACACCGAAGTAGAAATTTTTTTTATTTTTTTTATTTCAAGATTGTCACCTTGACTGCGACATGCATCGTTATCATGTACCAGCTAGATCCACCGACAGCATCAGCTCCATGAAGGAAAAAATTTTTTTATAATATAAATAAATCCATGTATGTATATATATATATCTATATTTATATTCAACAACGTCAAATAAAAGTATATTTACAAAATAAAAGTATTAAAAATCAATCAAGAGTCATTATTTTCCAACGGCTTTATAAAACTCACGTCTAGCATACAAAACTTTGCACGACACACGGGACACGTGCACTTGGAAGACATCCAAGTTTCTGGCGCCATTTCGTCTTGTCTGGAAGCAAACCTGTTTAAAACACAATTGGTATTAGATGAGAATTCGTTGGCCTGGCATAATCTTTTGTTGATATGCTCACCATTTTGCCATACAGTCTATACACCACATGGGTCGACAATAACAGTTAACACAGGCATCAGGTGACGTGGACTCGTTACAGAGTTTGTTGAGTTTCACATTTGACGTAACTTGCATACATCCAACGCACTGTTCCAACTCCTGAGCAGTTTCAAACTCTCGATTTTTACCTACTTGATCCTTAAATGTATCTATAAATCTATCCAATAAAGTTCGATGAAAGACGACACTGTCCAAAACCACGATTGGTCGCGTCACTCTATCTTGCAAGTCCTTGAAATCCAATGCATTCAATCTAATGTCAAAAGACCTAGCACCAGGTCTTGTAGGAGTTACCTGATATCAACAAATTCATTATTAAAAATCTATGGAGCAAGATTTGTTTGAAATTAAAGGGAAAAAAGTCAAGCATACCTCTATGTTAACATATTGCACTCCTCCCCGTCTGTCTGGTGATAGAGCATGAGTGTCACTTTTATTTACTATCAGAGCTGTATCGCTTTGGTGCGCAAAGTAGCACTTGTACGAAGTCACTTTAATTATCCAGTTGTCGGTGGCTACAATCTTTGTTATGCTATTCGTATCTATGGTAATCTTGTCTATCCTTTAAACAATATAATATAAATTATGTTTGATTTGTTCATCGTATACAATTTCATGGATGCCAGCATCTTACCGACCTCCTGAACTCTATATTTATATCCGAAGCAACAGACAACCACGATGAATTGTTATTGCAATAAACTGCCAAACTTTCAGCTATGGGATGAGTTGACCAGTTGTTTTTCGACCACTGCAATACTTTGAACAAAGCGTATATTGGCCCAATAAGAGCACAAGCAGAAAGCACCAGCCAACATGGATTTGCATGGCCTAGTACAATCTCAGCAGCACCAATGTGCCCAGTTAAAATCAATCCCAACACGTATCCTACACAAATAACATGGATTTTTATTTTATGCCTAACAGCCATGTTAACTACAATTTATTCAACACCAAAGACACGCAGTGTTTTGTAATAAAAAAAAAATTCGCCAATCAACAGCGCAAAAACATAAACAAAGATAAACTCACCGAACGGCAGAAGCGAGTGGACCAGCAGAGTGGCGATGCTGCGCTTGATGTGGTACTGTATGAAACGTTCATTCTCGCTGCCGAGAAAATCAGAAAACAAGTGTTTGATCGTCAGACCAGCGGATATGAACTCGGTGGGCGGACAAATGATGCAGCTCGAGAACAAAAAGTACGTCAACGAGTAGAAAAAAAAGGAGGACGACGACATCATCGTGTAGCACAGTAGGTCTCTCGTATCGTCTTCAGAATCAAAACAAACACCGCGAACTTGTGGTAACTTAATTTTTAATAAATGCCGAGGCTGGTAAAGCGTTAAAGCGGTAAAGGTTTATGTATTTCGATGGGATACGTCATAGTATCCGCGTACGAACTGTCGACGCGACATCCATGTTTTGACATCGCAGGGTAAATATAATTATACATATCGCATACGTGTACGAATCACACACAGCCATCGAGAGCAGACGATATTCAACGCATTTCGGAGCAGCGCTCGAAGAGGAGGGTTTTATTTGAAACTTTTCCCTGATATAATCGTAAAATAAAAATACACATATTTATTTTAATTATCGAATTCTGATTTCTACCTGCGTCTGTTAACTAGTGAAAGGGCTAATAATACAGTATTATTCCTGTAACGTGTTAGTGCCATTGTCAACTACCCGACTGGAACTTTTTCTTTTCTTTTTTTTTTTTTTTTCCAAAGCATATCCAACCCTCTTTCGTATGATGTACTATGTAAACTTTTCTTTAGATGGTATANAAAAAAAAAAAAAAAAAAAAAAAAAAGAAAAGAAACATTGTCTCTCATTATTTCTTTCAAAAATACTTCGAAGGGAGACTTACATTTCTGAATAAATAAAAATTGAGATTGAACAGTCCGTAAATGGATATGTGAATTTTTTTCTGATACAACATCAATATCAATGTTTTTGTCTGAAAAGTAAAACACTAGTTAGTTTTCGTTGTCATATACTTGAATATATTATATAATTGATAGCTAAAAAAGCAACATTGACCGCTTCTCTGCAGTTCTTCATTTGATGATGATTATTCAACAAACGATCAATCGTGAAAATCGTTCGATTCGCCTAAAAAAGAATCGAATCAGCAATGTTTTCATCAAAGTTAAAAAAAAAAAAAAAAAAATGAAAGTTAAAGGTTTGAAAGTATATTTGTACTTGTGCGCACACAGCGTCCGGCACGCTGCAAACGAAATAGATGCCCAAAATTTTGGTGGCCAGCCACATGAGGTTGGTGAAAAAGGCGCAGTAGTCGAGGTTCGTCCACACTTTACCGTAGGTGAGCATCTGGTACAAGGAGTAAATGTCCAAAAACGAGTGAACGAAGGTCGCGGCCAAGGAGAAGAGTATCGTCGGCCGGAAAAAGCCGGTGACACCGTCGAGCAGCTCGGACAGCGTCTCGTGGAACCGAGCGACGGCGTACATTTTCCCCACCGCCACGAGCGACCCGCCCGAAAAGTCGTGGAACGACGCGTCCTCGAGCCTCCGCGAGAAGGAAGCGAACAGGGCTTTGTTCAAAGCCTTGAAGTTTTGCTCCAGTACGAGGATGAGCTCGATGAAAAACAAGTACGCGTTGTAGTAGACGAGCTTGGGCGCGCTGAACAAGAACCAGGAGTTGGCCTGTTTTTGGTAATCGGGGTAGTCCAGCAGTGAAAAGTGATCGAACAGGGATATGAAGAGGTAGAGAAAATTGATGAAAACGAGCCGTATCCAGACTATTTTTAATTTTTCCGTGTGATTTTGCATCAGACGGACGTGCAAATGGTCCGCCATGGGTTTGATTTTCACGAAACCCTCGTAAATAGCCTTTACGTTTTTCCGTCGGAGTATAACGACCAGCCAGGATGAGATGACGGCAAAGTATTGAAAGGTCAGGGCCAGAGCATCCATTGTTATCGTCAACGGCGTTTCTCGGGGCAAGTGCAGCTCCAGCCTATTTCTAATCACTACGATGTAAGACCAAGAATAAATTGCCGTTAGTAGTACCGTGTAAATAACTTTTACGTAAGATAATTGCAAATCTGTTCCATCGAATGGAAGAAGACCGATACATTTTTCGTAGTAACACACAATTTTTATCATCACAGACATTTTGAATAGATTCATCGTGTTGCGGTGTTTTGCGAAATGGGAGCAATTTCGAACTGAGTATGAAGATTTTAATGGTAAAATTGTTTCGTCACATTTAATGGGTTCTACAGAAAATGGTTTCAATGAAATATTAGTCGGCTATTTGTTACTTGCTGCATCGCTATTAAGAAATGAACTTTTTTTTTTTCAAGCTTCGTCGTCGTTATACTTGTATAGTTTAACAGGATTGTACTTTGAATATTATTAGCTAAAATAAGTATTTCACTTAATTGAAGCATATTCTGTTGTTTTAATGCAAGAATAATACGAGAAAAATATTATTTTCATTGGGTGCAGTAAAATTCATGAGGAATATTTTAATGAATAAGAAGGTTACTCAGCACGTTAAAATCAGAATTAAATAAGGCTCCTCGAAAAATAAATTAAATACTCTTTGAAATATACAGGAATTTTAGGTGCTCAATTTCGTTAATCAATTTAGGTATGTAATTTGACATACATTCTTCGATCAATACGTATAATGCAATTAAAGTATTAAATATTAAACACTTAAAAAAAAAACACTATCTCTCATTCCATACTTCTTCCCATCAATATCCCATAGTTCTTCTCATCATATTCCCAAGTGCCGAAAAAAAACCGTATGAGACTACATAATGTGAAAATAAGATATATTTAAGGTGGCTTGGACGATTTTTACTGGAATGATAATAATCTCTAAAATTTTGAAATGATATAAATAAAGCGTGCTTAATTAATTTGCGATGAAAAAAATACTAGGGTCAACCACTTTATTTATCAGAAATCGCCACTGAACACTCACCAATTTCACACACAGTCTCACGGGATTTGTCACTAAAACGACTATAACTCTCAAAGTACATGACAAATCTCTGTACCTAAAAATTGTATTTGTACCTTTTTTACATAAGTAATTTTTTCGAATTATGAAAATTATATGTAAACCATTTAGATTTTAAGAAAATTGAGAGAAAGAAAAGTGACTTGATTTATCGGCTTCTGCGAATGCACAGTTTAAAATGATAAGTTTTTAATACTATTCTTTTTATTGATATTTTATAATTTTTTAGGCCAATAAAACTCTTGAATTTGAATGTGTGATTTAGATATTCAATTATCATGAAAACCTCCAAGTGTTGATTGAGAAATAAAATGATTTTTAAACTTTTAGGTTTTGAGATAAAACAATTAAAAAATTCCAAAATGTTTAACTGAGAGCATCAATATTTAAAATGTGCGTAAGAAAAAAAAAAAATTTTCCCATACCGGGAATCGAACCCGAGCCTCCTGGGTGAAAGCCAGGTATCCTAGCCACTAGACCATATGGGAGATGAAAGAGGCTGACCAAATATCAAATATGAAGAGTATTCACCATATTTATAGCTTCTCCAAATTTTTTGAAGAGAAGGAAGAAAAGAAAAAAAAGTGAAATAACTTTTTATTGCTTTATTTATCAATTCATAATACATTTACATCTTGCATCTTAGTTTCGTATAATTAATTTGAGCATACACCCTTGTAAATTTTGCTGTACGTGCTGCACTCGGCAACACACCACTGTCATTTGATTTTTAATTGTTAATTTTATAATGAATGCATAAATATTTATACTAATAGCGTAGATGCCCACTGTGAATTACATGAGTAAAACAGCTAAATAAAATTAATAAATAAGTTTTAAACATTCATTTTAAAAAGATATGAAATTTCCAATAGAAAAACATATGAAAAAACTATTTTTGACCATTTATTACTAATTTACTTGTAAATTGGGATTAATTAAACATCAAGTGAGAAAAAGTTTGTATTTTTGTCAAACACAATAGATATACAAAAAAGGTTTTTGTAACAAGTATGCGTTAAAAAAAATCAATAGGAAAAAGAGATGCAATATAAAGAATAATTATATAATTTATTTATATTTTATTATATATTATATTATTATAAAATATATAAAAGAATATAAAGACAATAAAAATTTTTGTCAGAAGTGGGATTCGAACCCACGCCCTCAGAGAGGACCAGAACGCCCAGTAATACTCGGTATAAGAGCCGAGAAGGAATATGTCCTTGAGTCTGGCGCCTTAGACCGCTCGGCCATCCTGACAGTTGGACGCTAGTGACATAAAAGCACAATTTCAGATAGAGACCCGGTAAGATATAAAATTTCGACAATTTATGCAGTCGTGAAGTTTTAAATGTATTATAATAGGCACATCCAAACAATAAGTACCAATTACGTGTGACAATTATTATCAATTGGAAGATATTCAACAAAAGTTTAACTTGCTCCGATGATAAGACGAGCCAGCTCCCAGCTCTATCTAGCGAAACTTACATAAAATTTATAAT